TTTTAAAAGATTCTGATTTTAAATTTTTTTTCTTTATATTATGTTTAAGCGTACTGTGTCACCTTTTTTTTTTTATTTTTCTTCAAAAAAATTATTTTGAATTTTTTCTTTATATTATGTTTAAGTGTACGGTGTTATCTGTTTGTTTATTTTTTTTTAATTTATTTTAAAAAAATTATTTTAAATTTTTTATTTATATTATGTTTAATTGTACAGTGTCACCGGTTTTTTAATTTTTTAATTTATTTTTAAAAAATTATTTTAAAGTTTTTTCTTGTATTATATTTAAGTGTACGGTATCACCGTTTTTTTTAAAATTATTTTGAATTTTTTTTATATTATATTTAAACATACGATGTCAGTGGTTTTTTTTAATTTTTTGAAAAAAAATTATTTTAAATTATTTTATTGTATTATGCTTAAGCGTACGGATTACCATACCATATATTATACCAAATATTATGCAAATATGTTACATAAAACAGAGTAATAAAATAAATGATGTTAACGATAAAATTGTATATTTGTTATACAAGATTGGATACAATAGATGGTTGTTTATGAGACCTACTATAATACATATTGAACTAACACACACACGAGAGAAAATTAGAATACTTTCTATTACCGATACTAATTTTCATTGTTATTGAAAATATAAACAATACATTTATCAATACCATATATAACTATCCTCAAAACAAACATACCCTAGGTTTAACTCATCTGATTAGGCCTTCCAGCTAAAGTAACCTTTTTGCAAAGGCTGATACATACCTCTTATAGGTCGCATGCTCCATCTATCTTCCTCTATCTTTCTGATGTGGGATTTGATAGCATTCCACAGGTTAGCTCTCTCTTCCATTTTGTAAAATTTTTTTTTTTTTTTTTTGAGATGCAACAATAGGAATTTATTACTAAGGAATGTCAAAAAAAATGAGAGGCATAACAAAATCTGGAGCTCTAGCCATACAATGCTACTATTTAATGGAAAAACAAAACGAGCTAATTTATGGGCTACTTATTCCCATTGTGTCGAACTCTGGACACTTCAAAGGAGTGAAAGCTTCTCGCTATACTATTAATATCTTGTAAGATGGTTTTGAGAGGATCAAAATTTCCATCACCACTCCTAATAGACTTCTACTAATTCTTGCTGCCTTGCAAATTGGATCGCAATTTTTGTTGCAATAGTTTCTGCTCTATGAATATCACAACTCATAACTATCATTTTAGACAATGCGTCTGCAAAGTAACCCCAGTCATCTCTTATAACTAACCCCACGCCTAAGACATTTGATTTGTGAATACAGCGTCATCCAAATGTACAACATTTTGCTATCCAAGGAATACTACATCTCAAATTTTTGATCAAATTCGAAGAATAAATTGATTTAGATAAGGTATTTTTAGCATGTGTGACCTATATCGTTGGAAAGATATACAAGTTAGGATTCTACAAAAAAAAACGGTGCACCATTTGGACTTTCTAACAAAGAGTTATGATCAAATTAATGAAAGGTAGTCTGCTAGACTGATTGGTTCTGCTATACTTATTCAACTTGAGTTTGCGTGTCTTTTGTCACTAATCCTATCTCATACCCATCTCCAATATAGATAGTATGATTTGCATAAAGATTCATGCTTAGCATTATTTACTAACCAAAAGCCAAATTACCATCCGTCTCCAAGAATAGTCCATAACGACGGGATATAAAACTAGCATATCCATCTCAAAATTTTTGCCAACACCTCTAAGCTAGGTAATCTAAGAATTCGAACAAATAATCAATCCATAACCTAACTAAACAACCAATCACACTTATCTTATAAACATATTACTTCAAACAAAGTCAAGCCTAGAGTTTCCTTCACCCTCACCTAATACTCCCCAATTCGAAGCATACAACCTCTACACACCTTTTGAGTATCCAACCGTTCTCCTGTAGGCACGTCAATACTCAAGGCATGTTCTAGCTTCTCAAAGTCCAATCCCAAATGAAGAGCATATGTAGTGCGTATGAATGAATGAGTAGCACCGGGATCGAATAAAATTCAAACCCAAGAATTTTAAAGAAGAAAGATACCTTCAACAACTGCATCGGAAACGTCTTCCTCTGATTGGGTCAAAGCAAAAACTCTTTCTTGCTTGGTACTGCCTGGGTCTATAGCCCCAAATGGTTTCAGCTGTAATGGCTTCTGTCGTGGTGGCTTATTTGCATGTACTTGTCCCGTTACTTGATTGGTTTTTGGTGGAATCGATGGGCAGTTATTTTTGAAGTGCTCGAACCCTCCACATGCGAAGCATTGATGTGGGTCAGTGTCTGCTCTGTTCTGAGTAACCCCAGCTCCTCGAACGACTTGATTCCTTTGCCCCGAAGCTTGGTCAGGTCGGCAGTACGGAGCTGCCCTTTGTGTAACTCCACTGCTGCTAGCACCAGTCCTGATCAGACCTCCCCTCACGAAGTTCTATCGTCACTGATTGTTGTTTCTATTCTGCCGTTGTACCAGAGTGGTTAGCTCCCTTAGGCATTGATAGATGCCATTCATGGCATCTGGAGGTGGTGGTGGTGGGTTTGCTGGGCCACCACGTCCACGTCCACGTCCACATCCCCGTCCCCGTCCACGTCCACGTCCACGTCCACGTCCCCGTCCACGTTCACATCCTCGTCCACGTCCATGTTCACGTTCACCCTCCATCCTGCACATCAATTCATAATTTAGTTTCATTGATGTACAAAACATTATAACTATCACTTTAATCTAAAGTATAAGGCTTGAATAAAATTTTAAATCCACAATTTCGTTCAACCTAATCCTATCTCTCTAGTGGTAATCCATAACCTATAGCTCCCATATAAGACCTAAAGCCTAGGCTCTGATACCAAACCTGTAACGCCCAAAAATCCACCTCGAACGGCATTACTAATTAAACCATTCACATCATGAGAGCAACTAACAAAATCCATAAAAAGATAAATTTCATTTATCATACATAAAATCTACAATATCACCCAAAAAAAATGTCAAATCGTGGCATCTACGTCCAAAAAGAGTATGTCAAATAATGGTAATTACAACTTAAAATCAAACTTAAAACTTGCAGCGGAATAAACAAAATAACATCTATCCATTGTATCAAAAGGTGTCTCCTAGTTTAGGACATGGGGAGATCAACTGTAGACATCCTCCCTCGGGATCCACGCTTTCATCCAATGACGCTTCCCAAGCTACTTGTTCATCACCTCCTAGTTCTTCCTTCATACCGAAATCTGAGAATAATTATTGTTTATAGGGGGTGAGCACTAAGCTCTGTACCAACATTCTCCCAAACTCGAACAAGGTTTAAAAAACATGTAAAATAAGCCAGTCTTATTTCGCAAATATCATATATTAATTTTTGAAAGAAAATAGGAACATTTCAATAGATCTTAAGTTTACACAATAGCAATAAATTAAGTGAAGTAATAACGCCCAATTACAAATAAAAAATCATTTCCAACCATAAACCATTTTCTACAAGTTCTTGTAGAATCCATACTTCCACAAACTCTTGTAGAAAAACCATTTCTGGTACAATAAACCATAAATCCCCAACTTGTATTCGTATCTCAGGTATGATGCATGATTCGCATGAATAAACACATCGAGAATATCCTGGCCCACACACACACACACCTAAATCCTCGCAAGAATATCCAACCTTTAGGAAGGGCGTATACCAACTCATGATAGTGACGAATCCAACCCAAGAATAGTATACTACCCCTTCTCCTCAGTACCCGTGAGCAAATAGTGTTTTGATCCTCACAAAACACCAACCCCACTATGAGTGGTAGAAAAAATTCAAACCCACACGGAGTAAGAAACGCGTCTACCCACTCTACGATACCCGATCAATGGGCACCCATGGTCATCCCAACATTCTCAAGAGATACAATCCCCAACAAATTCTCACATAACAATCCAATTTCAAAATCCCCAAATTTTCATATAGTATTACTATAAAGCAATCGAAGAAAATAAAGCAAGAGATCATCAACCATAACATTTTATTGTTCAATATAAAGCACTAGAGTTTTTAAATAAAAAACAAATGAAGAATCAAGAAAAAAATCATTACTTTTGAAAACTAGGGTTTTATACCAAGAAAAGAGATTTCATGGTTATCTACTCTAACTTTGTTTAAAAAATGATAATTTTTGAAAGAATATCAAGAATCAAGGTTTGCCATGCATATATATATGCTTTAGAGTCAAAAACATGTATATACATACGCCCTAGCATCAATGGACAAGAATGGAAGAAAACCCCTACCTTGGTGTTCTTGAAGAAATCTAGGGTTTTGATTCAATCCAAGGCACAAATCCCCTTATATCTTGTGTTGTTCTCTTCCTTTCTTCCTCTCTAAGGTTTTCTAGGGTTTGAGGTGTTGAAATGGGGCTAAATGAGACGTCTTTATATATTTATAGTGGAAAGAATCGGACCCAGATCGCAACTTAAAATTTCTGGAATCTGTCGGGCGTACTGGTACGGTATGGCTACTGGTCTTCGGAGTACCGGTACGCGTACCGGTTCCCTTTGGCAGCCTTGTTCCTTTTTCCTGTTTTTCCATTTCCAATCCACTTTTAACTCTTCCAAAATCAACCCAAACTTATACAACATAAATTTGTTCATCAAATATAGTTGGTACAAGTTCTATTACAAACGATTTCATATATTTATCCGGGTTTTACCNAATCTTTTATACTTAAAAAACACAATAAAACATGATCACCCCATCCCTTTAATATTCATACCTCTAAGAAGAGGTTTCTCAATATTAATGATCACCCGAACTCTCAAACACCTCCCCCATCCTAATCACTTATCAAATCTGTTTCAACAAAGCATCCTATCTTATTGCCTATAATTTCTACAGTTTCTTGATTCATTCTATTGAATGGAAAATTATAGATATGGACCTAGAAAGGACACCCACTAAACGATACTTTGGACGCCTAAAACGTACCATCATAATCTTTCAACATAACTAAATGGTTATCAAAGGACCATGGCATCCCTTCAAGAACCCTATTCTTATCCAACATATTATTGAACTGAATAAGGAACAAATTGTCATCAGCCTCTATAAATTCCACTTTGGTAATATTTCAAACCTTTTTCATTGCAGTTTTGAAATCCATCTTATTGTAAAGCTTCACTGACAGAACTTTACCAAAGATACACAACTTTCCTCTCTCCCCCAAATCACCATCTCCCTGATCCAGAAGATGAACTTCAAGACTCTCATCCTCAACAAGTGTAAAATTACGCCACAGCTGTTGCATCTCCTTGTCCATTATAGTATCTAGAAGACCACTAACCCCAAAGTTAGAACCATTCCAACAAGTCAGCCACACTGAGCCAAACGGAGTGATTCAAGATCTGCACACAAAAATAGAGAAACAAGATAAAAGTTCAACCAATATGATGACCTCTACAAGAAACAGTTTATAATAACCTAATTGGGCAAGAAAGGTAATGATGGTCTAACAATCGACCCTTATAGATGACCAGAAAAGAACCTTAAACCAAAAACTTCCATTAGTTTGACCTAAGGAAGAAACCGACTCTTTAAGACAACGAAAAAACTCTACCCCTCTAGCGAGAAATAGACTCATGCTAAAAAACTCTACCTGTCTTTTTATTCTAATTAATTTTTGTTATTACATGCTGGTACTTATACCAATCTTGAGGATCAATTTGTGAATTTACTTTTAGCAATTGTGGATACTTTTTGTGTTTTTTATTTGACCTACTATAACATAAAATATATGAGTTCTAAAACTATTATAAGTTTTTAGCGTATTCATTGTTATTAATAATTATTTTTTATTTTTTAATTTTATGACCGATATAACCTCTTGACCCAACAAATGAACCAGTGCCTAATCTTTCTACATATCGATATCCAGTCCAGTTCTGATAACTATGATAAATGGAGTTGCATAACCTTTCATTTTTTAAATATTGAGCACATAAACCATATATATTTTAATTTTAGAGTCCTAATCAAAATCTAAGCAAAACTAAAGCTATAGAAGAATTATATTGTTCAAGATAAAAGTACAAGCATTAAATATTTTAACCTTATCTTCAAACCTTCTCCAATATGGTTTCTAATGATTTAAAGAAAGAAAAGAAGCAAATCCTACCACTAAAGTAATAGATGGTAGAGATCTGTTGTGTTTACTTATGCTTTGTTGTTTAACATGATGACAATAGATTTAGATCAAAAAAACAAGGTCAAGTGCGACCTCAAAATCGTTTGGATATGCAATTTCTAATTATGTTGATGTTGTTCTCCTTGTTGCACTCTGTAAATTCTTGGATTTGTAATTTTTGAACTATAATACAATCAACAACAAAGAGAGAGATAGATGGAGAAAGAGAAAGAGCGATGAACTCCAATATGAAAGGATTTTTTCAAATTCAACATTGTTTTCAATCAAAAAAAAACACAAAAAATAATGGACATTGCAACACTTCTACCTTAGGGGGTATTTTGCAAATAAAAATAATAATAAAAAATTACTAGAAAATAAAAAAATAATCTTGAAAAACCCTTTATGTAACACCCCAATGCATTTACATAATAATATTCAAAGCACTAATAGCCTTGTTTCTAATTAATACTATCTCCAAATAATAAGTAAACTTTGATACTAATTCCATAAACATATAAGTGTTTGTCATTAACCTCAACATATAAATGTACTATTTTCAAGTATGATATGACTCAGTCGTAAACTTATTACATTCCACATATATATGTGAAGTTTATTACTAATCACATGCCTCAAGAATATTAATCAACACTTCGAATGAAAATCATGAGAACTAACAGTTTAAATTGTCAAAAAATTTTTCGTCATCTGTTAATCTGAAAAATGAGAAATAATGTAGGGTGATCATCAATTGTTCAGTAAAGTAACTCAATTTTCAAATAAACGAGTTTGAAAATAACATAATTTGATATGATTGGATAATATCAAAATAGTTCATTCCATACATAAGTAATAGAGCAAAAAATGTTGAATGAAAGCATTTAAGTTGAAAACAATTATACGACCATAACATCAATACAGTGCTACACTAGTGGGCGATCATCTTAATAGACGACTTAGGGTCTATACGAACATACGATCCATGCTTTTGGGGGACTTTCACCTCAAGGAAGATACGCTCCCCAGTAACAATTAGGTACCTAAGTCCGGAGACAAACAGGGTCACCCAGGCATTTACGAACTCAATGAGAAACCCTCTATGACCTTAACCTAAAACGTAAACCCTCTATCACTCAAACATTGCNACAATAAAACATGATCACCCCATCCCTTTAATATTCATACCTCTAAGAAGAGGTTTCTCAATATTAATGATCACCCGAACTCTCAAACACCTCCCCCATCCTAATCACTTATCAAATCTGTTTCAACAAAGCATCCTATCTTATTGCCTATAATTTCTACAGTTTCTTGATTCATTCTATTGAATGGAAAATTATAGATATGGACCTAGAAAGGACACCCACTAAACGATACTTTGGACGCCTAAAACGTACCATCATAATCTTTCAACATAACTAAATGGTTATCAAAGGACCATGGCATCCCTTCAAGAACTCTATTCTTGTCCAACATATTATTGAACTGAATAAGGAACGGATTGTCATCAACCTCTATAAATTCCACTTTGGTAATATTTCAAACCTTTTTCATTGCAGTTTTGAAATCCATCTTATTGTAAAGCTTCACTGACAGAACTTTACCAAAGATACACAACTTTCCTTTCTCCCCCAAATCACCGTCTCCCTGATCCAGAAGATGAACTTCAAGACTCTCATCCTCAACAAGTGTAAAATTACTCCACAGCTGTTGCATCTCCTTGTCCATTATAGTATCTAGAAGACCACTAACCCCAAAGTTAGAACCATTCCAACAAGTCAGCCACACTGAGCCAAACGGAGTGATTCAAGATCTGCACACAAAAATAGAGAAACAAGATAAAAGTTCAACCAATATGATGACCTCTACAAGAAACAGTTTATAATAACCTAATTGGGCAAGAAAGGTAATGATGGTCTAACAATCGACCCTTATAGATGACCAGAAAAGAACCTTAAACCAAAAACTTCCATTAGTTTGACCTAAGGAAGAAACCGACTCTTTAAGACAACGAAAAAACTCTACCCCTCTAGCGAGAAATAGACTCATGCTAAAAAACTCTACCTGTCTTTTTATTCTAATTAATTTTTGTTATTACATGCTGGTACTTATACCAATCTTGAGGATCAATTTGTGAATTTACTTTTAGCAATTGTGGATACTTTTTGTGTTTTTTATTTGACCTACTATAACATAAAATATATGAGTTCTAAAACTATTATAAGTTTTTAGCGTATTCATTGTTATTAATAATTATTTTTTATTTTTTAATTTTATAACCGATATAACCTCTTGACCCAACAAATGAACCAGTGCCTAATCTTTCTACATATCGATATCCAGTCCAGTTCTGATAACTATGATAAATGGAGTTGCATAACCTTTCATTTTTTAAATATTGAGCACATAAACCATATATATTTTAATTTTAGAGTCCTAATCAAAATCTAAGCAAAACTAAAGCTATAGAAGAATTATATTGTTCAAGATAAAAGTACAAGCATTAAATATTTTAACCTTATCTTCAAACCTTCTCCAATATGGTTTCTAATGATTTAAAGAAAGAAAAGAAGCAAATCCTACCACTAAAGTAATAGATGGTAGAGATCTGTTGTGTTTACTTATGCTTTGTTGTTTAACATGATGACAATAGATTTAGATCAAAAAAACAAGGTCAAGTGCGACCTCAAAATCGTTTGGATATGCAATTTCTAATTATGTTGATGTTGTTCTCCTTGTTGCACTCTGTAAATTCTTGGATTTGTAATTTTTGAACTATAATACAATCAACAACAAAGAGAGAGATAGATGGAGAAAGAGAAAGAGCGATGAACTCCAATATGAAAGGATTTTTTCAAATTCAACATTGTTTTCAATCAAAAAAAAACACAAAAAATAATGGACATTGCAACACTTCTACCTTAGGGGGTATTTTGCAAATAAAAATAATAATAAAAAATTACTAGAAAATAAAAAAATAATCTTGAAAAACCCTTTATGTAACACCCCAATGCATTTACATAATAATATTCAAAGCACTAATAGCCTTGTTTCTAATTAATACTATCTCCAAATAATAAGTAAACTTTGATACTAATTCCATAAACATATAAGTGTTTGTCATTAACCTCAACATATAAATGTACTATTTTCAAGTATGATATGACTCAGTCGTAAACTTATTACATTCCACATATATATGTGAAGTTTATTACTAATCACATGCCTCAAGAATATTAATCAACACTTCGAATGAAAATCATGAGAACTAACAGTTTAAATTGTCAAAAAATTTTTCGTCATCTGTTAATCTGAAAAATGAGAAATAATGTAGGGTGATCATCAATTGTTCAGTAAAGTAACTCAATTTTCAAATAAACGAGTTTGAAAATAACATAATTTGATATGATTGGATAATATCAAAATAGTTCATTCCATACATAAGTAATAGAGCAAAAAATGTTGAATGAAAGCATTTAAGTTGAAAACAATTATACGACCATAACATCAATACAGTGCTACACTAGTGGGCGATCATCTTAATAGACGACTTAGGGTCTATACGAACATACGATCCATGCTTTTGGGGGACTTTCACCTCAAGGAAGATACGCTCCCCAGTAACAATTAGGTACCTAAGTCCGGAGACAAACAGGGTCACCCAGGCATTTACGAACTCAATGAGAAACCCTCTATGACCTTAACCTAAAACGTAAACCCTCTATCACTCAAACATTACGCACTTACATTTCATTCCAAAAAGGATCCTAGATTTCAAATTAGTGCAAGTAATACAATCAATACATTCATTTCAAACATTAATGCGAGTTGCACTCAGAAACCCTAATTCAGGTCTGGATCAAAGTCAATATTTAAAAAATCCAATCATATATTTCAAAATATGATAAAACATCATAAATAACATATAGAATAATTTAGAAACAAGTTTCAAAAGTATCGTCTATTCTGAAGTTAAAAAACCGTATCAAACTCGGTATTTTGATTTGAAATAGCCAAAAATGAAACGATATTATTTTTCAATAAAATTTCTTACACATACTCAATTTAAATATTTAAAAATGAATATTAAATTTATTTGGAAAAAATACCCAAAACCTAGGAGGGAAAAACAAATATTTTACATCACCTATTGATTTGGGTATCAGATTGACCTCAAATTTACCGAGACCTCCACGCGGATGTTATGAAACTTCTTGCACTAACTAGAGGTCAATCAGACACCAGACGTGCCATCGGGGTGTCTAGTAGTGCTTCAGTCCCCTTCATCTTCTACCTCCAACAAACCTTAGATGTCAAAATTCTGTTTGAACCATCCCTCTTCTCACTCCTATAACTCACTCCATAATTTGTATTTTTGTTTGTTTTTAGAACCCAGACACTCACCACATGGCCCTCTTCAGATCCTCATACGTTAGACCCTTTGAACCAACCACTAACTCATCCAAAAATTGAACCAAAGTTTGAAGAAAATAAGGTTTTACAACTCGGGGTTAGACCTGTAACTGCCTTTTTCACCCACCAAACAAACTCTAAATCAATTTTTGAGATCACCAATGGATTTCTAGAGTTGGTTTTAGTCTAGCCCAATACCTTTTACGTTTTAAAAACTCCAAATTCAAAGCTTTGATTTTCAAGAAACTCAAATCCTACCTTTAACCTACACCACCTTCACACCACTTTTACAAGTCATGGCCACCCACCAAACTTCATATCAAACCCCTAGAAACCATTCCCAAACTCAAGATTAAGCTAAAACCAATCAAAAAATCAAACTTGTTTCAATACCCATTAAAACTCAAAAACTTCAAAATGAAAATTCATGCTCAAGAAATAACCAAAACTAATTCCAAGCACACCCTAATTAAGCTAGAAGCTTACCCCTTGTTTCTCGAATTCAAATCCATAGAGGTTTGGTTCTTCAAGCTCAAAGTTTCTCTCTGTACCTTATCTCCTCTCTTTCTCTTTCCTATTGGTTTTGGGTCATTCGAACAACCAGTAGAGATGTCTATCACCTCCAAAAGTTTCTAGATGGATGGCAAGAGGTGGAGAAGCACTAGCAAGCTGCTTGGGAAATCATGCCATGTAATGGCATTTTCATAAATACCATAAATTTGAAAACTAAATTTTAATATATATTTATTTTTTTATTTTTTTATAATTACATACATATTAAAACATGTCCTAGAAAAATATTCACCTAATTTTTAAAACTAAAATGAGCATTTAATTTCATCTCCAAATCCTACACCCCCACCCTTGACTCTCTAATTCGCGTTAGACCTACATTTTTTGGATTCGCATTTCGGCTTCCTACCACTTCACCAATCAAGCTCCTATCATCTTTTAACATCTCAATCATCATAAAAAACTTCCACACACACTTTAGCCATAGGTGTCATGACCATCGAGTCCAAGTCTTGCAGAAGAAGACCCACAATCTTGTCTCGGATGGACAACTTCAAGCCATCCTCGAACTTCCTCACCTTGGCCATGTCAGTGGCCACATAGTCATCGGCGAAACATGTTAATTCCCTAAACTTAGCCACATATTCCATCACCGTCATCGTCCCTTGTCACAAGTCTAAGAACTCCCGGGCCTTTGCATGTCTTTCGGCCGCTGGAAAATACTTGCCCATGAAGAGCTCCTTGAACTATACCCAAGTCATAGCCTCCAAATTCTTGGAGTCCTTCACCCAATCCCACCACAATTGGGATTCCCCTTCTAGCTGAAACGTAGCAAGGGTTATCTTCATGGCGTCGGAGGTGATCTCTATAACCCTCAATACCTTATCAACTTGTCGGAACCAATGGTTAGCCACCATAGGATCTGCCCCTCCCATGAAGATCGGAGGCTGATGTGCCTTGAACTTCTGGAGGTTACTTGAGCCTTCTTGTCCCCCACTTGTACCAGTCTATGCAATGGTGGCAGCCGTAGCACTAGCCTGTGCTATGGTAGCAATCGCCGTACAAATAGCCTCCACTAAGGCTTGTTGGTCAAAAGTCAGTGGTCGTTGGTTATTGTTCCATCCACTTTGACGTCCCCTTCCTCTAATTGCCATCTACACACATGCCAGATAGCAATAGAGCATTCACTTAGTATCCCATGATATGGACCAAACTTGAAACATTGAGATCCATCTCCTTGTTTCACTAGTAGAGTCTATGCCACCCACTAGTAACATTTATACCTTGAACTACCCCGTTCATTTCTTTTTCGACCCCCAAGGTTATGTTTTTTCTAACCCTAGTGTCTCTTTCCATATACATTTTACCATGTATACTATTCACATAATCACATAGCACATAATCATGTAACAAAATGTAAGCACATAAGATGAAATGTACAATGTATGCAATGGTCTAAATCTAATGCCCATCAAGACCTAAGTAATTCATATACCTATGCTCTGATACCAAGTTGTGACGCCCCTAAAATTGGGGGTCCTTTTTCAACCGTTGACTACTTGTCAACCCGCAGAAATACCAGTGCTTGTCACACGACCCGACATCATGTCAATCGTATCCCCTTAACCGGGATCATAACTCACACGTATAATCTGTGTTCCTTTAATCATTTAATTCAACAGATGTCCAATGTGCCTCAATATACCTCATTTAATGTCCATTTTTATCAATTGAACTAAAGAAAACAAAGCTCAAAATGTTAACAAAATAATTTTAAATTTTCAGATTTTTGGAAGAGCTAC